AGGATGTCTTGAGTGATTCCAAATTGGGATGAGGCATTGAGGACGCCTTTTCCTCCAAGTGTTGGCATATCTTGTAATCTAACGGACTCAAATCTGGACTGGAGGAGGGCCGGTCTTCGTGCCGGATGAAATCGATTTCACACGCCGCCAGCCAGTCTTGTGTGCTCTTCGCTCTATGAGCTGGCACCGAATCTTGTTGGAATACCCAGTGTCTGTTATTGAACATGGTATGAGAAACAGGTTTCACAAGATTCGTCAGGACTGTATTTTGATACACAACTGCATTCGTTTTTACACCTTTCTCACAAAAATGTACCTCTGTTAAGCCCCAATAAGAAACTCCCAACCATACCATGAGCGAGGATGTAAAATGACCTCGTTGGACACGCGGAATACGGTTGCTCGCTTCTTCACTACTGTGTGCGTACATCTTATCATTTTGTTTGTTGTAGCTCTCTTCTAAGGTAAAAAATTTATCATCCGAAAAAAGAATTTACCGATATTTTTTTCCCGCGTACCGCTTTAACAAAGCGCGGCATCTCTTCAGTCTCAGGTCCACTAGACGAGCATTCAAACGATGTCCTGTTTTTCTTCGATATGCCCGAAGCCCTAAGTCTTCCTTTAACACCTTTTTCACCGTGGTTCTGCTTAACCCCATCTGAAGGGCCAACAGTTTCTGCTTACGTTTGGGATTTCTTTGAATTCGCGCCTTCACAGCTTTTATCACTGTTGGAGTCCTAACAGACCGAGGGCGACCACTTCTTGACCTGTCATCTACACTAGAGTCTTCATTGTATCGTTTGATGGTACGATAAACGAATCTTTTGGTTATATTAAAATTTTTCAGTATGTCAAAAATTTGAATTGGCTCGTAACCGCAACGATGTAACGCAATAATGTTAATAGAAAACTTATTGTTTCCTTTTATTAAGTATATTTGTTAAAAGTTTAATTAAAATCGTAATAATTATATATTTTTAAAGTATTGGATTCAATATAACAAGAGACAATCCTTTGTCAATCTCTTATCAAAGTCAAAGTCATTCGTAATAGAAAAATGATATGAAACAATGTCGAAATGTATTTATTGAGTTATTAAAACGAAAACCGGAGACGGGTAACTCAAATAATCCGCTCTATAATAACGTTTTCTCAGTAACTTGAGCATAAGTATAATTTATTCAAGATAGCATTTTCACACTACATAAATTTTTTTTTATTTATTTCTAAAAATACATAATCAAAATATTTTTACATGAAGAACACATCGAAAACCACTAAAGTTTGAATGATGCGTCACAGTTCGCCGCACATCATAATTCATCATTGTCACATAAAATATTATTTAAAAACAACAATTTAAGTTTACATTTTATATTGTTTTCATTAAGCGAATCTCTAAATTCTGGATCCATTTTGTTTATGAGACGAGGTAACAAGCAGTGGTGGCGCTAGGCCTATTTAGTTACCTATTTATTTTCGTTTCTCCTGGCCTGGCTTAGTTAGCCGACCCCGAACTATTCGGGAAAACGCTAAGCAGATGATAATGACTTTTATTATTTTCGAACACGTGCGTGATGGAAGCGAGTAGTACTTTACAGGTATTCAGAATCGTCTGTCTGGCAACACTATTTTTGTAATTAAATTTCTATGTTTGTAATTATTTTTGTCATCATTTGATTATCTATACTTATAATAAATCTGTAGAGAGGTCAATTCTGTACATGAAATATATTTTCAAAATAAGTATCAGGGGGTGATTAGTGGTTGATACTGATGCCAAAAATGCAATCAGTAAAATTTTTGTCTGTCTGTCTGTCTGTCTGTCTGTGTGTATGTTCCTTATAGAAACAAAAACTACTCGACGGATGTTAACGAAACTTGGTACAATTATTCTTCATACTCCTGGGCAGGTTATAGTATACTTTTCATCACGCTACAATCAATAGCAGCAGAGTAGTGAATGGAAATGTTGGGAAAACGGGAGAAGTTACTCCATTTTTTAAGCTTCCGTCGCGTGTGCAGCCTTAATGGTTAAAGTTACATAGAAATCATGTATGACGGAAATATTCTACATAAAATTGTCTAAAAAATATCCCGCAACAACATATGTCTATCTTTTATGGTTGACTCACAATAACACGTGTAATTATATAAATAAAGTCATTGTTTATAGCAGCACAAGCCTGAGAACAAAAACTATAGTTTACACTACAGCTCTACACCGAAGCGAAGCGAGGGCGGGCCACTAGTCAACAATAAAACTCGTTTACTCAGACGTTATTTTATTATTTGGCTCACTTAATTTAACGGTTTTTTAAAATAGGCGTCGTGAACTTGATGTCGCCGACGTCCACATGTGGTCTAGCGCCGCCACTGGTAACAAGTAATCTACAGTGCATCTGCCGTAGATGTTGATTGCCGTTGTCGTGACTAGCAAGCCGCGAGTGATCCCCCGGGTACCTTTCGTGAATAATGGGTTTTCTAATAGAAGTATGTATGTATACTGAGGAGCTCGATGGCGCAAGTGGTTAGCGCGTTCCGCAGCGATCGTTGAATTTAAGCAACTTTCGCAGTGGTCGGTCATTGGATGGGTGACCATAATTTACTATCTCGAGCTCCTCCGTGCTTCGGAAGGCACGTTAAGCCGTTGGTCCCGGCTGCATCTGCAGTCGTTAGCACCCACCAACCCGCACTGGGCCCGCGTGGTGGGTCATGGCCCAATCTCCCTATTCCATCCATAGGGAAGCCTGTGCCCCAGCAGTGGGGACATTAATAGGCTGATGATGAATAGAAGTATTGAACTGTGATGCAAATTAGTTTTTCTCAGCCAATCCGATACACAATAACGAAGAGTAATAACGCAAGAGACAGCGGTGACCAATAAAATACAAACATTGAAAACTCATACTAAAGCGAATGAGTATTCAATACTGAAAAGTGTAAATATACAGTTGTACAAATATTAATACTCTGCTACTTCGTACCGGCACAATTTCCTTTTGGGCTTCCTTCCTTTTGCTATGCCGACTGAACCATAGTAGGAGCGGGAGCGGAAGCGGAAGCGTTAGCGGTATGGGTGGCAAGCGATGCGAACAATTTTTCGTTAACAATAAATAGGTTCGCGATTTACCGCATCTCAGCCTGTAGGTACACGACTACTCGGCTTATAGAAGCATAATATTGTTAAATAATGTATAGTTGGAGATATCATCATCATCAGCCTATTAATGTCCCCACTGCTGGGGCACAGGCCTTCCCTATGGATGGAATAGGGAGATTGGGCCATGACCTACGACGTGGGCCCAGTGCTGATTGGTGGGTGCTAACGACTGCAGATGCAGCCGGGACCAACGGCTTAACGTGCCTTCCGAAGCACGGAGGAGCTCGAGATAGTAAATTTTTGGTCACCCATCCAATGACCGACCACTGCGAAGGTTGCTTAACTTCAACGATCGCAGCCGAACGCGCTAACCACTTGCGCCATCGAGCTCCTCATCATCATCATTTGGAGATATATCGATGAATAACTTTGAATACCTTAAATCTCGACTCTGTTCACCTTGCAGCTTTTTCACGACTACTCAAACAAGAGTGCAATTTAAAGCTTGATTTTGATTCGCGGTTAAGTCTAATATAACTAGGTAGCATCTATGAAGTTTACTTAATTATGTTATAACTGATTCTTAAAAGACAAAATGATTTATATAAGTATTATTACTTTCTTAAAGCACAGAAAATCAATAATTAACTTCAAAATTGTTTGATGTCTTTGAGTGCGCCCTTAGCTACCTACTTTCGGTTAACAGCAGTACGATACTGAAACTTCCTATTTTGTGGGTGTGTACGTATGTTTGTGTGTGTGTTATGATTTCCATAATAATCCTAAATTTATTGAGATCTCTAGCAACCCAACTTTTTTATATTAACAGTACCTATCCTAACCCGCTCTCTTCACTCCTGTCACCATACCTTTATCTTGTAATTATTGAATAGTTGCGGAGATGTTATAACCTTCGTGAATAGTTCAGCAGGCTCAAATAGAGCAATAACTTGCGGCTACGTTCACATATGTAGCTTTATTGGATTACTTTATTACGCTACACGAAAATAACGTGGCGTTATTTAACGTCATGTTCCATTTTCGCGTATATTTTTTCGTGAATAAAATATGCGATGTGCTGAGAAGCTAGCCTGCAATGGTACTCTGTAAAGGAATGGAATTATTTATTTTGGTACGTTTTCCTATTACACCTAAGAATATAAGGATATTAATGTCTATGGCGATTCCACGATTCTTTCACAATGGTGTTTTCTGTAAGGCAAAGCTCTCCGCTTTTACGATCCCGGCTTTGAATCGTGTTAAATGAAAAATCTTTATTGGCCATCTTGTATATAAGAAACAGAGAAAATAAAAATAAAAAAAAAGAAATTTAACCTAAGAACAAAAATTAATCACTCGATTTAAGACGGCCAATCCAGGCCAATCTGCCTGATGATGCCCCCAGAGAGAGACGGACAGATTCCTCAACGAGTCGAGTCTAGAACGTCCCGCGGTTCGTGCCAATGCACACAAGGGGAGTTAGTGCAAAGAGGAGGGTCCGAGAGGGCGCTTTCACGGTTGGGGTCTGGGGCAAAGGCTTGCTGATACCCTTTCCCCATCGTGTGAAGATGGAACCGCATTAGGTGTTTTTAGTGGGTAGTCGCGGCGTGAAGTATGCCCCGTGGAGTCCCACATACCCCCACGGCAGGGCACGGTCGTGGGAAGTGCGTAAAAGCATTTTCACCTTCCCCAAAAAAAAAATGTGTCATGCTTGTGTGATAATTAAAATAGTTTAAAATGCTATGTCAATTTCATAGGAAATTGTAGGACGCCGGTCTCCAAAAATTTGGAGCGTTTAGAACAGTTTCCTTGGGATTTTTCCAGGGAATTGGGACTTTTTAATACTTTGCTTTGCTATATTGCTTTCTTCGTATTCTAACTGAAGTTCTTGTTCCAGGGCTGCTATCATGGGACTCGGGCGAGCACCAGGTCGACTTGGAGAAAGAGCTGGCCCTCCTCACGGCGCAGGCACCCGAGGGGGAGGAAGCCAGATATGGTGAGTACAGAAAATAGAGCGATTTATACTTGAAGGATGTGAAGTTCGCGCAAGTCGCAGTGCAGTCAACGAAATGAAGGTACGCGTAAGTTGGACTGTCAAAAAAGCTTGGACCGATGAGCTGAATCAGGTCTATTTTTTAAACGTAAAGAAAATTTTACTAGAAAAAAAAATCACTTTTATTCCAATTATGCTAGCGAGACCTTGATGACCGTGTTGAATTTCCTCTAATATTTCTTAGACTTCAAATTTGTTAGTGCGTGTGCTTGGATAGCAGAAGATGCGGGTTCGAATCCCGTCTGAAACCTTGATTTTATCTAGTATTATTCTTAGATTTAATAATCTAACAGTTAAATACTTTAAAATATATATAATATTCTCAGATCTGTTATGTTTTTTGGCGTGGCACCGACTTCAAATGACATTAATTTTAGATTTAAATATACTTTTATTTTAAGTAAAGAATACGAATTATTCCACAGTTTTTAGTGATTTAGCTTTTACAAAACAAGTTTAATTTTTTTTGGTAAAAAAGTTTACAAAATAGAGTATATTCATAATATGTCTATCTAGAAGAATAGGTTTCTTTATATTAGATGCATATTTTTATATCATAAAAATACTTGATCTCTAGACACTTTTGATGTGTATAAAGGTACAATAATACAGCATTATAATATCCAGTCTGTTACAAAAATCCAGAAAAACCCACACTTATCTAGTCGTTTAAAAAATCTTTATAAGAGCGGACGCGAGCTCAGAGATATTTGAGAAAAAGGTATTTGAAAAACTAAACGATTTCTGTCGCGCATTGGCAAACATCATACGATAGGGACAACAGCAGCTAACGCTGAAAATTGCGTATAAAAATTGCGAGGTATGGCTCTCGACGATTTCTTACTCGAAAATTAGATACATATAAAATAAATTTTACCAATAAAATAATTAGTACTTATACTAGCCCTCTATTTTTTGTTTTTTTTTTGTTAATGCTTATTGATTCTCCACACTAGACAACTTAAATGCTGATAAAAAATTAAATAAAACTAGTTTTTCACAGTTTTGTTAATGCACGAAACTTTATTTATTTATTGACGTTTCGCAGCCTAAAGAACCTAGTTTTATTTAATGAGTAATGTGCGTGAAAACCTAAGAAACAAATATGATAAAGATTTGTTAATTTTCGACATTATTGAGGATTTCTAGTTTCTTTGAAAAACAAGTTATAAAAAAAATTGTCAAGTGCATGTCGTGTCACGCGCAGTGTAGGTTTTCGCTGTTACCTGTCGTAACCACAATATATTTGAGCAGGTGACTTTTTTTTCTGTATCGGAAATAAAAAAAAAACAATTTAGAAATATCTTTTTTAAAAAGCTATTTCAAAATTGGATTGGAATTGAATTGGATTTTAAGGAACCCCTAATTAATTTGAAAGGACCGATGGGGTAGACGATGAAAACCAATCATCCCCTGGTTACAAGTAGGAAAGCTACCCAAAAAATACTTTTTAAAATTTTACCATTCTACCATTTTGTCGGTGTGATTAATATACAAATCTCCACAAAATTACAGCTCTCTAATGCTAACAGTCTCCAAGCAAAACCGGGGACGGACAGACGGACATGACGTAACTACAAGGGTTCTTTGTCAGGAATACAGAAACCGAAAAAAGAAGACATAGGAACATAGAATGAGTAAAATAATATGTAATGTATGAAAATCATTTTTTTGCGATAAAAAACAAAGAGAAATCATGTCAAGAACGTTTGTATGGAAAAAACCTCCCACTTCCCAGCCTAAGTGTCGCCGCACACGGGCCACCGACGACAACCACAAAACGCCGCCCCCGGCATATTTCTTGAAGTTTTCATACATTTTATATGGACTCGCCACACACGGTACGCCGGTGGCCGCCACACGCTACAAATCGTCGTTGCTCGCTTCTTGTGGCCCGCACCAGCCACTTAATGCGTCGATACAAAACACCGCCACACGTCACTCGCACGATTCCCCACCCCTCTCTCCCTTACCTTAGTCGGCCGCTGTCGCGCGCTTCAGCCGCTTTAGTAGCCGCTTCTAGCTTCTCGTGTCGGTGTTTGTGGCTGTGGCGTGCGGCCCGTGTGCGGCGACACTTGGCGTCATAATTTCAGAAAAGAGGTTAGCTTGTACGTTTTAATTAGGGCAAGAGGTTTATTTCCACGAATCTTCCGCCGTGTTTACGACGGGAGACATTTTGTAGGTAACCACGCTCCTATTAAAGCGCTGAGAGTGGAGACTCTCGGATCCTTCAACTTTTAAGATTTTAGCGCATATTATAATCTCGTTTGGCTCACCGTCTCTCCTTACACGCTTAATACAAGAAACAAAAATAAACTAGCTTTACCTGCTACTAGGCTTCACAAAATTAATAATTCATTTAAAGGTCTTTGTGTTCGCTTATACAATAAATTCCCAAGCAATATCCAAGAGTTAACCATAAATAGATTTAAAGATAGTATAAAAAAAACACTTATTAAAAAAGCTTATTACTAAGTGTCTGATTATTACATACAAAAATGCTTGGGTTTGAACTGTTCCAATCATTCCAACAGGTTTTCTATATTAAATAAATCACAATTGTATTGACGTTGTAAAAACATAATGATTTGTAAATGTTGTTACATTAGACTTTTAATATTGTGGAGTGTTTTCGCTCGTTTTTCTCCGCAGCTAAAATATATGTCCATAACAAGTGGTAGGGGAAAAAATTTTGGACGATTCAACTTCGATCGAACTTAACAAAGTTAAATTCATACCCCCTTATTTACAAACAAGGAATAAACTAAGACTAGTTAGGCTATGTTTTATTCACGTCACTCAAATACCATTTGTCATACGATAGACAGAAACAAAACATAGAGTAACTAATCCAAGCGTAGTCTTCGTTTATTAATAAAGGGGATAGGTTTTATATAAACCACATTAACTTAAAGAGTACGTTTTACGACATGTTCCATCTAAATTGGATTGTGACCATTGGAAGTCCAATTTTGTGTAAATTAAACCTTTGGAGCTTGAAAGAGGAACATAATGAATCTGTTTACTTTAGAAATGGAAATTAAACAGCGGAGGTCATTTACATCCTTTTACTACACTCATTTTTAACCGACTTGTTCCCTCCTTTCTACAATCAGAGGTCCTTTAAGAGAGGCGTGAAGAAGTATTTTTGCAGGCCGGCAAGGTGAGGATGGTTGGTGTGGCAGTTTATAACTGCTGTACCAGTTATTTTCGTGTTTGGACTTTATCACCACTTAACATCAAGTGGGATAGAGTGGTTTGTCTGCCTGGCTATAAAAAGAAAAGACTTCCCAATTCGTCATTTTTTTTAATGTTGTACACGCATATCTCTAAACAAAACGGTTGTGGACCGATTTTGATGATTTTAGTTTTTGTTTGGAAGAGTTTGTAAGCGAGATGGGCCAGATTAATTTGATAAAGATCTGATAAATACTTTGAGAGATAGACTACGGAACTTATTTATTTAATAGGTGTACTTACAGCTAAACATATAAAAACATTAATAAATTAAAATAATACTTATTCTTAGACATATATGCAAGCCTTTACAAGCACACACAACATTCAATTGAGAAAAGTACAATGTAATTAATAATCAATGAATAATCAATACATAATAGTGCAATTAATATTCAATGTTCTTCTCAAATATGAACTGTACACTTATCGTGTTAAGTTATTTTACGAAATTTTTGAGTAGAGTTGAATTGAAAAAGTTGCTCTAAACTTTTTCAACAAAAATCAAAACCCGACTTCATAATAATAAAACCACTAAAAGATAAGAAATAGAGAGATAAACCATTTGACTCGATTATACAAACATTTTATATTACAAATAGAATAAAAACATAGATTAACATAAGAAAACAAAATTAGAAACTAAATTAAAACTATCAAAAAATTATTGGTTTTTTTATGTATTCTGGCAGGGCCTGTAAGGTGCGCTATATATGTATATTGCATAGTTATATAGCAATAATGCATATTCTTTACTTATTAAACATTTAAAGTCAAATTAACATTTGGAATGCCTTATTTCTTACTTTTCAGTGATTTTGTGTTCCTAGATAGATTATATAATAATAAATGAAAAAATATAATAAATATCGGAGACTCATAAAAAACAAGGTACATGGTAACAATCCCGTTAATATCTATAATGTTAGTGACCACGAAAGTTTAAAATAATATATTCATAGATAGAGTTGGTTATTTCATCTGTTTTGCAGTAAATAAATTGACTGTCCAATCCAAGTATTCCACGCATTCAAAATCAAAATCATTTATTCAGTCTAGGCTTTTACAAGCACTTGTGAAGGTCAAGAAGCTACGCCATCGGTTCGCAAAACTACGGCGGGAGTCCTTGTACCGAGAAAAACCGGCAAGAAACTCAGCAAGGGCTGTTTTTTCTCCCTGTTTTATTTTATACAGAGTCGTCAAGTAATTCCACGTCAATTCCACAAGCACTTGGTCGTTTGCCATCCCCTGTCATTTTCACATAATATTAATCTGTGAAGTGGTTATTACACTCGGCGAGAATCAATCTGGGCGTCGTTTACACCTGACGACAGTTCGGAATCGATCGCCTTACACCGAAGTGACGTGATCGATGGCTGAGTTGTCGAGGGTCACTATCTACGCAAGAAAATATTTTCCTATTTCTGATAAAATATCAAAGAAATTTCATAATACTAGCGGCCCACCCTCGCTTCGCTTCGGTGTAGAGCTGAAGACGTAGACTACAGTTTTTGTTCTCAGGCTTGTATTATACACAATGACATTCATCTATGATTCTTCTTATACCTGCATGTAAAGTCTCAGCCCGATCGGTTTAAAATTGACAAAGTTTCATGCAAACTTTCATTCCCTATTTTATCCCCTTGGGGGTAGAATTGATCAAAATCCTTTCTGACGTAGGCATCCGCTACGTCAGATGTTAATCT